TTATAAAATTTCCTGGAGATATCAAGAAAAAGTATTTCCACATTATAAAACCTCATTTACAAAAAACTTGTCCTAGATCTGGTTCAATACCATCATCTCTATCCAGAGATGTAGTCATTCCCACATTTGGTTCAATTCCACCATCTTCATCTGGAGGTGTACTCACCAGAAATATGACAAAAAAAGGAGGTAAAATTTCAATGATGATGAGATATGATAACGAACCTATTGATTATAGATATTTTGATGACTACAATGAACTAGTAGATAGATTACGTTTGCTAGTTGCTTCCGAAGCCACTGGCAACACTACTGGTCACAACAATGCATTTATTTCAATCATTGAAGAGTTACGTGTAGGTGCAATAATTTTATAAATGTATGTTTTACTTTTCTGTCTTAGTATTCAAAATGCCACTGAACAAATTCAATCAACATTTTCTTACCAATTCTTCTTCATTTCTTCAGAAGATATCGTTACAGAACAACCACCACAAACAGATTTACCATTTTTTATTTGTCAGCCTTCTAATTCCACAGTAAATGTATATTAACTATTCGCGGTAGCAAAAACCTTTCTTCCAATCAAACTCATTATATATTAATCAATAATAGTATTACTTATACGATTCCGATTACAGGAAAAGTTGAAAATATTCAATACATTGAAAATATCCTATCAGAATCAAAACGATGCTTTAGCCAATCTTTTGTACCATAATAAACTCAAAAAAGGTGACACTATTCAATTTCCTTTAGAAACCTCAAAGAAACTTGCGTCCAATAATTTTTACATTGAATTTGTAATTCAATGCCCTTTGGAGAAAGGTGAATGATATGTTGAATATTGATTGAAACTAAACATTTTTGAGAAAATAAAATTTTTATTTAGAAGAAAATCGTTCCACATTTTTGAAAACTTTTGCTTCCCAATTCTTTTCTTCTTGCAGATTCATAATCTTTCTAAGATCTGACGCATAACATGGATTTTGATCTTCCGCCTGTTCATCCTTCGAATTAGTCTTTTTTTTCACATGCCACATTTGAAACGATTCAATTTTCGGATCATCATTATAATATTTATTTTCCAATTCCATACTGATGTTGTCAAAAGATTTCACATATAGGTGAATTCAAAATTCCACCAGGGTTGTTTATGAATCTAGTTATCACTTTGATAGGTCTTATCTGCATGCACTTTATACAAAAACCAAGGAGCAGAATGGGTCTGCTAACGAAACAGTGGTCCGGTAAGTATTGTAACTTGATATCTCTACAAATACAACAAATTTTCTTCTGTACTACTTCTACTACTGAGTAAATACTCATTTAGTGATCGACAACAATTCCAACCTGTAACTTTCCAACCTGTAAACTTTCCCACTTTTTTCTCATTTGACTTGTAAACGATTCAAGAGACAAAGTGTTGTCGCTCTCACAATAACATTCTCGAGGTTAAACTTTCAATTTATTCTATAATGCCTTTGAATAGATTCAATCAACATTTTTCAAAACTTAATTTTTGTTCAGACTCAAGCCACGTTATGAATGTAACATGGATTTACGTGATACGAATAATAAATTTAATCGTTTCATTGATTATTGTAACGAGGATAGTAATGATTAATGTATCACAGTTATTTATGAAAATTGTATTCTCATTAGTGATGTAGATGACATATTGAAAAATGGAAATGAAAACAGAAAAAACAAACATATATAGTTTTTTATTTCATTCACTTTTAAATTACAATTGATCAAGAGCTTATTTACATAAATGACATCTTGATTGTGAAGTTGGTGGACCGTCTGCGTGAGTGCGCCATTCAGGTCACTTGTAATGAATGAAACAGGGTAGTTGCACTCGTGAATGGAAATTATTTCGATACTCTCTTGGCAATTTATGCCATGCATATAAGAGTTCGATTGGTTGGGCTCTTTCAATCAAATAGTGTATGGGAAACTTCTCCAGTTCTTCTTCACTGAAGTGATGTAAATTCCGATTGAGATGCCAATGATCCTCCAATGGATAAATACAGTAACATGCTTCTTGATTCATTTTTTTCTTGGTTTGAAAACTTAATTCTCTGCTGATACAAGAGAAATAACATCATACACAGTTGTATACTGATTTCATCGATACATTTTCATGTTTTCATATAGTGTTAGGAATCACACGTTAAAAGGTAAGACCTCGTTAATCCTTAGCTCGCACAAGTTTCTACTTCTGAGGGTTGTCGTTCGTAGGGGTGCGACAGCTGGTTAACGGAATAACAGATTTTTTTTTTAAATCAAAAATGTGTTGTGATATGGGATGGTGGGGAGAAGATGAAGAAGTAGAATAATTATTCTATTTTCAAAAACAAGTCTGAACTTGTAATAAAAACAGTTTTTGTTTCATTACATTTTTATTCATCATCATTCATTATGAAATGTGTATACAAAAAGAATACATTTGATGGGGTACATACACATTTATATTCGTTATTACTATGATAAAAACACATGGGGTCTTCTTCGTCCAGTGCAGGATGATCATCCAATTCATAAACCGTACAATTACAATATTTCTTGATAAAGTTGAATTTTTCTCTACCTTTTACATACACGTCTGCACTTTGCGTTACATATCGTATAATATTTTCAAATTGATGTGGAGGGGTGAATCCTACATTCCAATCTATAAAGCGGTTGTTTTTCATTAACCAAGTTGCCTGTTTTTTCAGATCGTATGGTATATTATGAAATGGTGGTTTGAATACGTAGTGACTGATACAGCGATTGTCATCGTTACACGCTAATTCTTTCACTACGAATTTATTATTTTCAACTTTAAAACCTTGAAAATCGATAACTAATCTCATATTCGAAGATTTTCCAAGTGTCGTTCAACTAATTTTCTCTTCTCTAAATATTCAATTTCAGCCTTGAGTTGTGTCAACTGGCGTAGAAATTGAAATAGTCTACATCTATACTGAACTAACATTATCAACTGACTGACTGACTCACACTCATTGTCATACAATTTTATTCAACGGATTATAATAGGATTCTTTTTCATGTAATATCAAACAATATGCAGACACATTATTCCCTGTAGATTTTGATGTTTCAAATTCTATTCGTAAAACTACAGATTCACTCTGAATGATTTCTTTTTGATGAGAACAGTCAATATGAATAATTGGAGCTTTGTCTTCGAATTCTTTCGGGTTAAATATTGGCTGATTTGTTTGGATGTGCAAACATTTCATATAGTGATGCAAATCGGTTTGAATCGGAATCCAAATTAAAATCTTGGTAGGGAAATCTCTCACTATTCAAAAATACTCGTACATTTGTCAAGTTACAATGATTTAATTCACTCATATCTTTCAGAATCTGACCTTTTCGAGCATCTTGAAAAGCAATAATTATGTGTCGAGGACTTTCTAAGTGAGTTGAAGTTTTTACAGACCAAGTGTTACGAGCTGAATCATTCAGAATGGAATATTCTATCAATTCCCAACTTCGGAATTCAATTGGTAATTCTGTACTATTACGAACTATTTTATTCAAGTGCAATTGTTCGTTAATACTTGATGTTATATGGGGTACGTTCCAATATAGTTTGGTGATTTGAATTTTTCGTTTTTCTGTATTATCTGTTGCAATATTAGCATCAAAATCATCCTTTTCTCGAATAAGAACTAATTCTTGTCTCATATTCATTATAATTCTTTTATAATCTTCGAAAAATCCCGACCACAATTTTAATGGTATGCATACATTAAAATTTCCTTTGTCATCGATTAAAAGTTCATCATTATCTTTTGGAAACCATCCGTCATTTTCCATTAGTTTACTTTCATTTTCGTTTAATGATAAGTAATTTTTCAGTGTGGAACTAGGCCAACGTTCTGAACAGAATCTATTACTACACCATCAAATTTGTACCTGAGTTCTCTGAATGAATAAGCTATACCATTATTAATGAATTGGAATTTGGTTGGCACTTTGTTTTGATCCGTTTATATTTTACCTTCAATATAGATTTAGCTATTACATGGAAGTGTGTATGCATCTAAATCTTGTACGGAAATCCTAACTTCATCATTATAGTTGAGGGCTCCAGAATTATATGGTTGATATGTGTGGAATTGATAATCTTCAATAGTTGTATCGCTGAAAGGTTCACCTGTTACATTCAATAAATACTCTTTTGAAAGCTATCCAAGCAGACACTCCTATTCTCATACCGTTCAGAAAATGGGAACTTCATATGCTGCCTGCTCTCACACAAGGTGCAAAAAATGTGAAATATGGACCGTCAAGACTTCCTCGTTCCTCGAAAGCCCTCGCTATGTGATTGTATGTTTCCAAAAAAATTGTGATTACACTAAAGTCAACAATGATCCAACAATATTCAATGAAAAAAGAACCGATAAAATTGTTGGTGGTGGATTGTGCAAAATGTGCTTCCTTTTTGGTCGACGTGAAGGGGGTACAAATGATGTTAAGCTGGGAAAATTGGTGTCGGAACCACTGACAAGATATAAGAAGGCAATCGAAACGATCACACACCACGAGAGCACGAATTACCACCAAGCGAACGTGATCTCAAAATTTTTTGATGGTGATAGAGGGAAAATCAATGGATGTTGTTATCCAAATGAGATCCCAGGAAATGAAAACTGTTGAAGAGGATCGTGAAAAACTCAAACCCATTATGAAAACAATAATACTATCTAGAAGACAAAAATATACCGTTAAGAGGTCATAGGGATGACGGTCGTTTAGAATTGGAAAGTTCTTATGAATACGGAGAAGGAAACTTCAGAGCGTTATTAAAGTTCCGAATGGATGCTGGAGAGGAGATACTACATGAACACGTGAGATAGTGTAATAAGAACGCTTTCTACATTAGCAAGTCGACAGAAAATGACTTAATTGAATTCTGTGGAGAACTTATCAGACACAAAATAGTGGACAAAATCAAAAAGTCAAAATATTTCACCATCATGGCTGATGATACCACAGATGTTTCTGTTTGCGAGCAACTAGCCATTTGTATTCGCTATTTCGATGAAGATTTAAACGAAATACAAGAAGACTTTCTAATGTTTGTCGTAGTTATTGAACTCACTGGTGAAAATGATACTCACCATATTTTGAAAGCGTTGGAGAACCTTAACCTGGACATTACATTGTGTCGGGGTCAAGCATATGATGGAGGATCCAACATGGGCGGTAAAATGAAAGGTATTCAGACACGCATATCCAGCACTAAGCCTTTAGCCTTTTTTACCCACTGTGCAAGCCACCGACTCAACTTAGCTATTAGTACAGCCTGCACCGTACCCAGTATAAGAAATGCTATAGGAGTTATATCAAGTGTAGCAACTTCCTTTCGTGGCTCAGCTCAATGAATACATCTCCTTAGAGAAGAAATTCAAGCTCATCTGCCAAAGGAAAAACAGAATATATTAACAAAAAATGTGTGAAACCAGATGGGTGGAAAGACATGAAGCGGTATTGACGTTGTTGGACGTCTTGCCATGTATTCCTGAATTATTGTAAACAATGGCTGATCAAGACCAAGGAAACAGAGTTGCTATACCTCCATTTTCATTGCTCCAATCTATAATGTCATCGGAATTTCTCGTAAGTAGTAGATTACAGTCGGTTCTGGGCCTCCGCCCACCACTATGACGTATTATTTGCTTTTTTTTTGTTGTTCAGTAACATCAAGGCGATGTGACCTTGAAGTGTCTGGTGCATGGATCGTTCAGATTTTTTTCATATGAGATTTTGTGTGTGTGTGTGACATAGTGACGTAATTACATTTGATTGGTGTGTGTGTGTGTATGTGTGTGTGTGAGAGAGAATGCACGGTACAGGGTTACATCATGTGCTTGTCTATGTACAAACATACGTCTGCATACTTATCCTTCAAGTAATGGATGTTCCATCGATGTGAGCCCACCAAGTTAGTAATGGTGTGACGTCACAGAAGCAACGGTTCAACGGTAAGAGAGCAAGATTTTCACCCCACGACGTGTGGCTGAATGATGCGTATTCATCGGTGTGCCCTCACCTCTCTCGATACGGTGAAGGCTGTGACGTAGCGCATCGCTCTAGCCTCGCTGTCGATGGTGACGCGCAGGCGGTGAGGATTGTGTTAACGTCTGCCTTCTACGAGAGCGCAACGACCACTGTCTGTTCGTATCGACATCTGCTAACGCATCCATGGTGTTGGCGCATGTAGCTGAGAGGTGTGGTTGGCTATGACTTCTTGACGGACCCTATCAGACTATATTTAAGAAGCGGACGAGTGTTGGTTATGTCAGTTTACATCAAGTGAGTTAGTGAAAACGTATCATATAAAATGTATTCCTGTGGATGTGGTAAATCTTTCACTCGTAGTGATAATCTTCATTGGCATCAACTCCAGAGTTGCCAAGGAGGGCCTTCAGTGAAACGGATGAGAGTGGACAATGCAACACCTATGTATACTTGCAATTGTTGTAATGTGACAATTCCTATGACGCAAGTGAACTCTCACCGAAGAACCATGATCATAAAAATAATGCATGTGTTCAATTGTCTGAAGGTGTTCAAATTATAACGAATGCATTCAATTGCCGCATTGCTACATAGAGGGTGGAGAGTTCGGTTGTATCCAGTGACTACATGTCATTTTTCAATTAGATTAGGCAGAAGGTCATTGAATTACTGGAATCGGCCATCAGGATCCATAAAAGCATCAAGGTGAATATGGAAGTTTTTGGGAATTATATTCTTCAGACTCAAGATTCGAGGGACACGAAGTCATTCAATTCCCAAAATGAAATAGTGGACCAATCTTCAGATTTGAATGCTGTTTTTGATGGATTCCGTGATGTAATTGTGGCTCAAACGACTGAATTCCAGGAACGTGACTCAGGTATTAATTTTTTTGTGAGTTCCAGCGAGATTGAGTAGTAATATTTATTTTTTTTGTAATTTAGGTTGGACTTGTGAAAAAATACCGTTTCTCCAAGTCAACATTAGTAGTAATACAAAGGGTGTTTCAAGTAATTCAGTGTAAAGCACTGTAAATCTTTTATTTGCTATAATGATAAATATATCTCCTGTGATTTGGATCCAAAACATCACAGTGAACATCCCAGCAAATTTTGGATACGCTATTATGAATGTGTCAAAATTAGGGACTCATCACACATCACGGTGTGAACATCCCAGTCCATTTTTCCTGATACGTTATTGAGAATTTGTCAAAATTGTGGGATCCGACATCACACTCACACTGTTGACATCTTAGCAAATTTTTGATGTGCTATTGTGCATCAACAAATATGGGGGGCACCGGTACTTCAGTGCCTCGTGGGGGAGTCCCTCATTACGAACATTATTTTTTTTGTATGCTATTAGAATGAAAGAAGACAAAGTTATGCAGCAAAAATGTAGTTTGAATGCATCATGAGAATTGTTCATGAAATTTAGTGAATTTTCATGTTCAATTACCTAAAAGAATGTCTAAGTATTAACAACATTCGGTACCTAACGAATCTTAAATGATTCAAGAATGCATCATGAGAATTGTTTGTGAAATTCAGTCTACGTTGTAAATATTCATGGTCAATTACCTTGTTACACATAATCCCAAGGCAGTATAATCTTTTATAATTCTCAAAAGAATATAACATTAGACAGTTGACTGAAGATAATGTTCAAGTAGAACGTTTGAATGATTACAAGAATGTGGTGGCAAATAAAAACAATATATATAGAAGGAGAATTGATTAAGAGATCAAAACTTCTTCATCTTTCATAATAATAAACTGTGCTGCTCTCCTGAGGAAATCGAAAGTGAGTATTTTTTTAATATTATGTTTCATGTCTCTTACCAATTAAACTAAAGAGAAAAGTATTGGATTGTATGTTCTTTTATTTCATTTCAGATGGATCTCAATGCTCTTAATTCTGTTTCGATTGTAGAGACCAAGATTCCGAAAGCGGTTATAAAGTTGCAGAATTTGATCGTGAATGAACGACATAAAATTTATTCAGCGAGGATAGTTCAAAGTAGATTCGGAAAGACAGTTCTTCTCGAATTGGAGAAGAACGTGGTCTTTTTACCACAAAGAGTAACCGGTGATTACAAACCTCATATAACCAATTTTACTCCAGAGAAATTCGCTATTGTATTCAGAGGAAACACAGACGTAGGCAAACGTTTACCTGCTATATCGTTTGAAATTGTTGAATTGTAAAGGTGAGTTACTTTTTAGTAAATAATACGTGATACATCAAGAATGACTTTGAAGAAACCATATCTAAAATTGATGAAACGTTGAAATTAATCAAAGAAAATTCAGCTGAAAAATATGCAATCGAAGCAATAAATCAACATATGAGAGTGTGTAATGAAGCTCTCAAAGAATTAAAACTCACAGTAAGTGAGAAAAGTGAAATCATTACGAAAATTGGTCAATTGGAACGATTGAGATGTTTACTTATGATGAAAAATAGAATTGTAGGAGGAGCGTAAGGTTTGCTGGGAAGATGTTAATTCTTGTTTTAATAACAGAGTAAAAACGGGTGTCATCATCAATGTGGAACATAAAGATATAAAAGCATTTTTGGCTGACGGATTCAGTTTGTTCAAAAAAATCATCAACAAAATTTTGAAGACAATGAAGACAATCTCAAAGTTAATACCACTCTTCGGAGTGATTTTGTGAATCAATCAAGTGACGAGGAAATAATTAGTCAAAAATATTTTACCGCTCCAAACGTAGTTTTAGATCAGGGAACGGATCTGGTTGTGTGGTACCGAGAAAATGTCATTGATTACATCTTAAATAAACTGTCAGAGTTTTCTGAAGAGTCAAGCGGTTGGGCATTACACAAAATCTTGTTGTTAGAAGTAGCTATTAACAAATATGAAATTGGCAATGGAACCTCATTCATTAAAATATCATCACAAATTTCGAGAAAACGAACATGTATCAATATTCAAAATAATGATGAAGCATGCTTTTTTTGGAGTATAGTTAGTGCTTCATACCCACCCACAGGAGATTATCGATATATAACATCATATCCGCCATAC